TAAGACTAGAAAGAAGAGATTAATCTGGAAAATGTGACTTAAAGCTTCAAACAAAGCAAGTGACACTGATGCTCCTCAAGAAGGAGCGTCTTAGAAACACTGAAGTGGTTTTGATGGTTTCCAATCCTGTTGAAGCTGCCTGCAGACAATCTGAACTATTCAACCTTGGCTTCGTTAGCCGACCTATGAGCTGCATTAGAGCTCACTAGAAAAATTCGAAATCTAGTAAGTAATTTTTTCTTAAAATGAGTGAATTTTTCTTGGATTGAAGAGGTAAAATAGACATTTTGCCAATGGAACAAGACAAATGACACTTAAAATAAGAAAAAAAACATTTGCATCGTCTTATTTCAAGTGCAAATTATCTAATTATCTTATTTTAAGAGTAAAAATACTTAATCCATTTGCAAACTTTCTCATTAACCTACTCAAATTAAGGATAAATTCACTTAATTTAGGAAATTTTACTTATTTCTAGATCATTTTTCCAGTGCTTTATTTTGGACCTTCATCCATGAGGCTTTCACTGACTGATGGAGGTTTGATGGTTTTCCTGGAGTTGTAAGATTCAAATGGGTCAAAACAGAAACTATTTGCTGCATGTTTTCTGATATAGATGTTAGTTTAGAATCTCACCGGAAATAAAAGGATAACTAAATTATCACACTAGAAAAAAATTGAAATCCACATAAGTCATTTTTTCTTAAAATAAGTGCATTTTTTCTTGAATTTATTAGGTTAGTGAGACACTTTGCCAATGGAATAAGACAATTTACATTGAAAATAAGAAAAAACAAATGTATTGTCTTATTTCAAGTGCATATTATCTAATTATCTTATTTTAATAGTAAATATCCTCATTCCATTGGCAATTCATTCTTATTTACCTACTCAAATTAGGGGTAAATACACTTAATTTAAGATATTTTGACTTATTTCTAGATAGTTTTTGCAGCGCACCATTTCTGCATTAAAGCTTCTGTCCAAGAATCTTTATCTGATTTTTATTGTACAAAAAATGAAGCAAAGAACAGGTTGTTAGTTGATGCGTTTACAGATCAAGACAAGCAGGAATTTTCAGTTCTGAGGCTTTTGTTAAACAGGGATAAAAAACCTTTGAGTTGCTGATCTCTGATCAGAGTTGATCAGGAGATCAATTTCAATCATTTCCATCTCCAGCTTAGTTTGATTAGCAACACACTACAAAAAATCAAAATCTTGATAAGTAATTTTTTCTTAAAATAGGAGGTAAAAGAGACATTTTGCCAATGGAACAAGATAATTTACACTTAAAATAAGAAAACACGATTGCATTGTCTAATTTAAAGTGACTATTATCTAATTATCTTATTTTAAGAGTAAAAATACT